GCCAGGAGCCACAGAGAGGGTGAGGTGGGAGAGCAGCTACCTGATGTCTTCATCAGTCACCATGAAAGCCTTGCAGAGGGGTTGGGCTGTGTTGAGCCACACTCCAGGGTTCTTCTCCACGGCAGCTGAGAGCTGGCCAGTGATGGGCATGGTGTTGGTGTGCAAGGCGCTGGCTATGGCCGAGAGCAGGGTTTCATCTGTGCAGCCGGGTCCCATTCTTGCAGGGGCGCAGGAGGTACAGTCACCACCAGGCACTGGCCTTTGTCCCTCAACCGCGGATGTTGTTCCCAAACCTCCCTTATGGGCAGGCAGTTGCTCTCACATCAGAAAAGGAACTCTACATGCTCAGGGATGGATGGTTGTGTTTATGGTGCAGGAGCAAAATCACACCCCAAATTTTTCCAGGACCCTCCAGGACAGATGCATCTTGCTGGTCCAGTGCCTCCCCCCAACCTCGCCACCTCCCCCCCCCCCCCCGATGTGTTCTGCTCTGGGTAGCTGTCTCCAGGACCAGATATCAGGTGTCTGCCCTGCTGATCCAAAGCTGGAGGTTGGAGGGTCCCTTCCTTTCTCCGGCAGGCCTGGCCCCCTTCCTAACTTCCCCTTACCCGTCCTGGGGTCTGGGTTTACCTTGCAGACCTTTAGGGAGGTCCATGGTCTTCACAAGCTCTTCAGCAATATCAAAGGCGTTCAGGCCACTCAGCTTCTTCTCCCAGAAGAGCTACCGCCGGACAGACAGATGTGAGGCCAATAAGACAGCAAGGCACCCCCATGCACAGGTGAACCATAGCCGTCTGATGACGGCTAAAGCCCGTCCACATGTACTGCAGTGGTTGGTCTCAGCATGACCTCTAACCCCTACCTTAGCTGGGTTGCTGACATCCCAGCTTGAGAAATGAGGGTGCCATGGCCCCAGCGGGATCCACACCCAGGCCCATCTTCCCAGAGCAGAGAAACGCCAACTCCAGTTTTTGGCAGGACAAAGACCCAGGATGTTAGATGTGGGGTGATGTTCCCAACAGACTGTCCCACACACCCTACCATACAGTGTGTGGATGTCTGTAAATATGTATGAAAACACCGGCAATTCTCAGTTTTTGAAAAGCAGGTTATACATCCATTATGTATGATCTTATTTAAACCCCGTTCCCCCACAAAACTTAACCATTTATTCAAGAAAACATTGGCCAGCCCAGCTGGCATAGCTCAATGGTTGAGGGTCAACCTATGAACCAGGAGGTCACAATTCAATTCCCAGTCAGGGCATATGCCTGGGTTGTGGACTTGATCCCCAATGTGGGGCGTGCAGAAGGCAGCCGATCAATGATTTTTCCTCATCATTGAGGTTTTTATCTCTCTCTCCCTCTCCCTTCCTCTCTGAAATCAATAAAAATATTTAAAAAAATAAAACATTGGCCAGAAAAAGCCCCAAGTGCCCCAGCAGCCCTCTGCATGGTGGGTGGGGCCAGGGTGGGGGCTTTGCTCCCCAAAGAACTAGGTTCTGGGTTGACTGTTCCGGACTGCACTTGGGCTGAGGGACCCAACAAATGTAGGCTCTGAAGAGTGGACTGAGCATCTTCTCTGAGGAAAACACCACATGGTGGATGATGCCGGTGCTGCAGGAGGGCCTGGAGGTCTTGGGGCCCCAGAATGGGAGGCTTTCATGGAGGATCTGGCAGTGGCATCTAGGGCTGAGGTCAAGGCTGGGGGAGGGTCAGGGTGAAGGCCGCAGAGCTCGAAGAAGCAAGGCCAAGGACAAGGAATAGACCCAGTCACCAAGCTGGGCAACCTGGTCAAGTACATGAAGATCAAGTCCCTGTAGGAGATCTGTCTCTTCTCCTGCTCATCAAGGAATTGGAGATCATTGAATTTTTCCTGGGGGTATCCTTCAAGGACAAGGTTTTGAAGATTATGCCCGTGTAAAAGCAGACACCCGCTGGCCAGAAGACCCAGTTCAAGGCATTTGTCACCATTGGGGACTACAATGGACCTGTTGGTCTGGGTGTTAGTGTTCAAAGGAAGTAGCCACTGCCATCCGTGGGGCCATCACTCTAGCCAAGCTCTCTATTATCCCTGTGGTGAGGCTACTGGGGTAACAAGATCAGCAAGCCCCACACTGTCCCCTGCAAGATGACTAGCTACTGTAGTTCTGTGCTGGTGCGCCTCAGTCCTGTCCCCAGGGGCACTGGCACAGTCTCAGCCCCTTTTCCCAAGAAGCTGCTGCTGATGGCCAATATCGACGACTGCTACACCTTGGCCAGGGGCTGCACTGTCACCCTGGGCAACTTTGCCAAAGCCACCTTTGATGCTCTCTCTAAGACCTACAGCTATCTCACCCCTGGCCTTGGGAAAGAGACTGTGTTCACCAAGTCTCCCTGTCACTGACCATCTTGTAAAGACCCCCACCAGAGTTTCTGTGCAGAGGACCCAGGCTCCAGCTGTGGCCACCACATAATTTTATGCAAGAAAAATAAATTAAGCCCGGCTGGTGAGGCTCAACGCCTGAGCGCTGACCCATGAACCAAGAGGTCGCTGGTTCGATTCCAGGTCAGGGCACATGTCTGGTTTGCAGGCTCAATCCCCAGTAGGGGGCATGCAGGAAGCACTGATCAATGTTTCTATCTCTCTATCCCTCTTCCTTTCTCTCTCTCTAAAATCAATTAAAATAGCCCTAGCCAGTTTGGCTCAGTGAATAGAGTGTCAGCCTACGGACTGAAGGGTCCTGGGTTCGATTCTGGTCAAGGGCACATGCCTGGGTTGTGGGCTCGATCCCTAGTAGGGGGTGTGCAGGAGGCACCCGATTGGTGATTCTCTCTCATCACTGATGTTTCTATCTCCCTCCCTCTCCCTTCCTCTCTGATATCAATAAAAATATATTTTAAAAATTAAAATTAAAATCAATTAAAACATATTACCAAAAGAAAGGAAAGAAAAATAAATTGATACCCTGGCTGAGTAGCTCAGTTGATTAGAGCATTGTCCTGATAAGTCAAGGTTGTGGGTTAGATCCCTGGTCAGGGCACATAAAACAATCAACCAATGAAGCATAAAATAAGTGGAACAACAAATCGATGTTTCTCTCTCTAAAATCAATCAATCAATAAAAAAGAAAAGAAAAAGAAACTGAATTAAGCCTGTTTTTTTCAAAAAGAGAGGACCCAGCTTGGAGGGAACAGTAGATTCAGGGCTGGGCCTGACCTGGCCAGGGTGCGTGCAGGGTATGTGCTCACCTGCCGGGGCTGCTCCACAGCCTTCTGGGGGTCACTCTTCACCTTGTTGCTGGGATGGTGGGAGCTCTTGGTCACTGGCTGCTTGAAGATGGATGCTGTCTGCCTGACAGGGAGGGCTGTGTTCAGGTCAGGTTTGCCCTGTGGAGACAGGAACAAGGCCACTCATGACTCTCCAGAAGCCTGACTCCTGTATTCTCCCCGTCACTGGCACACCCTGTGGCACCCAGAGACCTGCAGGAGATGCCAAGTCCAGTCCCTGCCTATTTGTTGCCCTCAGTGGGGCTCAGGACACACACTGGCCCTGTCCTTGCCTCCTGTGCTTCATTCTCTGTGAAGTACTAGCCTGGGGGCACCCTGGCTAGCTGGCTAGCAGCCAGGGCAGGGACAGGTTCAAAGTCCCACTGAACATGTGTCCATCAGACTGGGGACACACACAGGGTCACTGGGTACCCATGTGGACTGTCAGCTGTTGAAGACACTGTTCAGGGAAGGAAAGTGCAACAAGCACCAGAAGCAGCCAGAGACCTCTCAAGGGACAGAATCACGATTCCTTTTTTCTCCTTTTCTGTGGTCTCCAAATTTCCCTCAGCAAATAGTTACTTCAACACCAGAAGTAAACTCCATTTCAGTATCAGCTCTTTCCCCCACCACAGTGGGTCTGAAATGGTGAATCGCCGCCCCCCACCCCCCACCCCCGGCCACTCCATTGTGATGGGGTGGAGCAGGGCAGGGTGGCTCACCTTGACCTGGTTGGAGGAGTCATAGCGCACCCGTTGCCGGCTCTTGTTCATCTTGCTCATCAGCATCTTGCCCGTCCGGAAGTCGAAGGCCCCCAGGTCCATGGAGCCGCCCAGGTACCGCGCCAGCTGTGGCTTGCTGCGGAACTTCTTCCCACTTGGGCTGCGGCCAGAGAGGAGTCAGTGGCTGCAGGATGCGCCGGGCCACCCCACACCCCCAACTCCAGGCCCAGAGCAGAGATGAACACCCGGATCTACAGTGATGGGGCCTAGCCTTGAGAGCCCGACTGCCATTTTCAGAACATCTTGAGACTAGACCCAATGATAGCAGGTATCTGAGGGACATGCCCCGATAGCAATCTCCTTCTAGTGGTTATGGCGTTGGGGACTAGGGGCTCCTGGGGGCCAGTAAAATCTCATGTTAAGATTCGGGACCAGGACCCCAACAACTGCTCAGGCGTGACCTGTTGGGAAAGCTGGAAAGCAGGAGCTGTGATGACCTGGCTGTGAAGATTTGCATCCTGCTCAGCTCTGAGGACACAACACCCACCCCCAGGGCCACTGTGCAGCAAAGTCAACACCACTCTGCTGGACAGGACCAGCACAGGACCCAGCGTGCAGTAACAGTCCTGCCACGAAGACTCGTGCAGCCACTTTGGAAACAGTCTGGCAACTCTTCAAAGGATCAAACAGCAATCCCACCCCTAGGTATCTCCCTGAGAAATGAAAACATACATCCATGAAAACATGTAACCCAAACATTCACAGCAGCAGGATTCACAATAGGCATAAGTGGGAACAACCTAGATGTCCACCAGCTAATGAATAGACACAACATGACCCCATCCACGCGCTATTATTACTCAGCCACGAAAGGGAGGGAAGCATCGACACTACAATGTGGATGAACCTTCGAAGACAGATGCTCAGTGAGAGAAGCCAGACACAAAAGGCCACATAGTGTGATTTCATTGATGTGAAATGCCCAGAACAGGCACATCCACAAGTATAAGTAGATTTGTAGGTGCTCAGGGGTTGAAGAGTAGGATGGAGGGGTAACTGCTGGATGGGTCATGGGGGAATCTCGGAGATAAGTCTCCTAATTTGAGCAGTGCATACCTGCCTCTTCAGTCTTGTTC